GGGTATTAGTATACTGTCTTTTTTCTTAACTTCCCCTATGTTTAATAGTTCATTGTGATGACAGTAGTGCTTTGCTGTTTTGAATTTTTGTTGTATATTAAATCAGCTTTCATCACCATGAACTCATCTGTGACAAATTATAGGCAGTTAAGTTTCTGCAAGCTGATTTGGTCCTGTACTAATGCCATGTTGTATTGCTCTTTGGTGCACAAGCTTCAAAATAATAAAAATCCTTTGTCCTAAATTAAATTCACATAATTCAATTTATAGACTGAATTAAAAATTTTAAACCAAAATCATTTAAGAGAAAGTATATGTGGTTAATACTATTTTTTTAAAAAGCTGGAAAGGTACTCTTCTTTTTGAAAGGTTTCCAAAAATAGTTCTATTCATGTAAACCTTAAATATCATACTTCATAAAATAAGTTCTATACCAATGTACTTTCAAGGGAATTTGGGGGCCAAGGGAAGGGCTCACCAGGCATGCTAAGAACCAACTTTTGGCTCTCTGTTTTAGGATCACTCCTTTTGGTGCTTGGGGGACCATACCCTGCTTGGGGAATCAAGTAGGACTCAGTTGTGTTAAAAAAAAATAGCACCTTAATCCTTGTGATGTCTCTCTGGCTCATCAGTCATCTAATTTCTAATGCCACAGGTTAATAGATTCGCAGAGAATATTACAGGTTAAATATGTCAATATGCAACAGAGCCACATTCTCAATAGTGATGATTTTAGAATACCAAATTAGGTATGAATGAAACTTACTTATTATACAGTTATTTCTAATTTTAAGTACTATCTCCCATTCACTTTAAATTCTTGTGATATTCACATAAAAGTAGGTTCTGCCATTAGTAATAAGTACCATATATTTTATTTTCACTATATAGAGACTTCAAAATTTTGGCAAACCCATGATTTGTCATACCTTCTTCCCTACAATGTATTCACAGGGGCCGGAGCTATAGTACAGCAGATAGGTTGCATGCCTTGTGCAAGGCTGACCTGGGTTCTACTGCCAGCAACCTGTATGGTCCCTTGAGCCCTGCAAAGAGTGACTTCTAGGCACAGAGCCAGGAGTAGGCCCTCAGCATAGCTGGGTGTGACTCAAAAACCAAAACAAAATAAAAAAAACAATACTTCCACAGGTATTCATATATTATTCCTATTTTATAGTTATGGGGAATGAGAGTTAAAGATGATAGTAAGTGGCAGAATCGCATGCTGCTACAAGATATCAAAACTGAAACTCAAAACCAGTTCTACTAGATGACCAAGGACACATTTGTAATCAAGGCTATTCTAATGGTTCTAAGATTATAATCTATGAACACAGGGGGAAAAATAAGTGTAAGCATGTTGTCATCTTGAGGGCCAGAGAGATAAGACAGTGGGTGAGATACATTTGCCTAGCATCTATCAGTCATATTTGATCCTTGACACCCTACATCGTACCCTACGCCCAGTCAGGAGTGATCCCAGAGGACAGATCAAGGAGTAAGCCTTGAGGAGAAGCTAAAAATAAATCAATAAAAGAGAGAGGGAGAGAAGCATGTTGTCATCTTAAACATTAGTGCATAGGTTAAACTAAAAATGTTTTATTGCTGAATTTTATGTTTCATTACATGAAAAACAGAAGTGAATACATATGCAATGCCTCAGATTCCTGCCACAAAACATTTTCCTTTGAAGTTGCCGCTTACTTTGTTCGGATCTTAAGATGAGCATTTAGCAAAAGTTAAAATGTAATGCCAAACTTCATTGGTTAGATTTTTTATTAGATAAGGTAGAAATGAAAGCAGCAGGCAATTTAATTAGCAGTAATTTTTCTGGGCAAGTCATTACTTTGATGAACTTCAGAGCAATGTTTATGGCTCCTAATTAACCATGTTAGTCATTTGATTGAATAATCACTTTGGAAATGTTTCTACAATTTGATTAGAGTCTGACCCACTCTGATAGTCATAAATTAACTGATATCACTTTAGGATAACATGACTTTAGTTGCTTTATGGGAATAAACTCCATATAGCCATAATTTTTTAGGCTTTTCAGGCCCACATAAAGTCACTGTTTTAAAGATACATCAAAGTTAAACAGCACTAACCAGGTATCTCAATTTCAAGAGTTAGATTTTTAAAAAATGGATGCAACAGAAACGGGTAAAATATTCCTACATATGTATTTTTCTAAACGGTCCGTGCTTTTATTTTTAAAAATTTGATCTTTGGAAAGTACATGGAGGACCTAATGATAAAGATAAGCTCTCATAATACACTATAGTGATTATTTATAAGGAATCATTGATTCATTGTGAATTTTAAATTTCCTTAAATATAATAAATATAACTTTTGAAAAATGTTATGGAATACAATTAATAGATCAGCTAGTCTAATAGTTGCAAGAGCATTTGAAAAATTATTCATCACATCCCATCTTTGATGTCAAGTGTATAGTTTTCAACAAGTATGATGATTTTGTATTATGTTAGAGCACTTTCGTAAGATGTCCCTTCAAATTAAATAGTAGGTTTCTCAAAAATGCTTGCACTTCCTCTCCTCTCTTTCTCCCCCTCTGGGGAGGAAGGCCTCCATTTAGTCACACTTATATATAATAGAGTTCAGCCTATATGTTTTCCTTTAGCTGCCTCCAGAGCCAGCCAGCTGTTTTTATAGCCACATTCCAGCTGGGCTGCAGTCAGTAAAAGTATTTTGTGGCAGGGTGTCAACATTGGTACAGCAAAGTGCTTGCTTCTAAGCAGCTGCTGAGCTGATGGCAGAATCATTAACACTGTCCCTTCCAGGCCCAGCTGTTTCGAGGAACATTATGCCTGGCAATAAATCAAAATAACATTAGAAAGTAATGTGAAATGTCATTGGTAAAAATGTTTTAATGAAATGGATTGTATTTGGTAACTCAAAAAGTGCAACTACTCTGAAGCACAATTTTAAGTGTTAATCTGAGGAATCAAGGTTAACTTTCCCTTTGTTAGAGTCTGAATTGTCTATTATGTGGTACATTACATAAAGAGATATGCTATTGTGAAATATTTGATGATGCATTGTATACTATTTACAACTTGTAGCTATTGTGAAATATTTGATGATGCATTGTATACTATTTACAACTTGTAAGCTCTTGATTTCTACATCTTTTAAAATGTTTATTTAAACATTTTAGCATATTTTAAGGAAATGTTTATTTAGACATCTTTTTAAATTGCTATTATGGATTCTCATTAAGATATTTTTGACTAAACTTACCTGAAATAAGTGACTTTTTTAAGGTGAATTTTGTTTAATATTTATCACCGAGCACTCTAAAAAATAAGTCGTACAGACTTTTAAGATGTAACATTTCAGACCAAAAGAGAATCACACCTGGACCCAACAGTACTAGTTGACGATTACAGCACGAAAACAAAGGAAGAAAAGAGAGGTGGATAGTTGAAGATAGTTGAAAAGTAGTTAATCTTTAGATTCTAATTCATTTAAACATTCTTTATTCTGCAGAGCTCATTAAATTAATACAAGTGGTGGAAATGACATTTCTGTATTTAATACCACATTTACCTATCCACCTTATAAATTTATTTTTATTTATGTTGCTTACAAACTGGTAATGTGGAAGGTGTAATTATCATATATTTATAGCTGGAGCAACAGCACAGCAGGTAAGGCATTTGCCTTGGACACGGCCAACCCAGGTTCAATTCCTCAGTCCCTCTCGGAGAGCCTGGCAAGATCACCATGGCATATTAGATATGCCAAAAACAGTAACAAGTATCACAATGGAGATGTTACTGGTGCCTGCTCAAGCAAATCGATGAACAATGGGAGGACAGTGCTACAATGCATATTTGTAGCTATATTTCAAATGAATTTTATATATTATGTACAGGGTAGCACTCGGGTTTGTGAGACTTAAAGCTTATATAATCGGCAATAGTTCTTTTTTTGATTTTATTTTTTAAATAAAATCACTTGGATGAAGTTAGCTTGTATGAAGATGTAAGGCTTTTCAAAGGACTTTTGCAAATAGACAGTCCTGAATAAAAGCTTAAGTGATTTCATCATCAATCTACCTCTGATTATTTGAAGTGTACTTCTATATTCAGAAGTGAAGAATCTGAAAACATAATAGAGTATAACATCTGAACTAACTCCTGATTCTATAGATAATTTTAAACATATAGGTAAAATATGTTTAAAATTATGTTTCTTCATTAGAAGTGAAGGACTCAAATAATAATCTTTTATGTCTTAATTCATATTTCTTTCCTGCTATTCACACCTGCCCCATAACGCATTGATATAACAGTCATCTCTATGACTCAGATTTAACCATTAACCAAGTTTATTTTCTTAGTTCTAAATTAACTTGGTTACAGAGGCAAGGCCTCACTCTTTGGGCAATAATAGTGTTTGCCATGAAATTGCTGGATTTCAGTTTTATAGCTTTTATAATTTTAAACGTAACCTGTGTACTCAATAAAATTAAAAGCCGGTCATGTTTATATCTGAGAGGGAAATTTACAGTCATTTTGAGGCTAGAGTCAAAATTTTTCAAAGATTTAGCAATTTTTCTTATAATAATTTCTATAATGACAAAAACTAGGTGAATTTTATTGATTTTTTTTTGCCTTGCCATACTGTGCCACAGGACATAAAAATTGATTCCATCGATGTCTTCCAACATATTTTGAATCACAGTACTCTTTATCTTGGATACCATCACCTTTATGTGGGTTTGCACATAGGGTTAACCTATAGCCAAGTTGATATGGTTAAAACTGAATTCACGTTAACAACTTAAGAAAACTGGTGTTCACCAGATAAGCTTATTCATACATTTACTGTGTGAGTCTTGGCTGAAATGTTGACATGTTGTCTGCATGAAGATTTGCATCAGTTTCTGTTACTGCACTGTCTTGTGATAAAGGCATGTTTTCAGCTCCCAAATTTCCGCTTTAACCAATGCTGTTTTTATTTCTTCCAGAAGTGCCTAGCTGCCACTCCATTTATATGAGGCAAGAAGGCTTTCTGACTCATCCCAGCAGAACAGAAGTTAAGTTTTCCATCACTGAAATTGCTAGTAAAAGCTGGTTAAAATATTTTCTAGATGCCCCTAGGATGCTTTACTTAATCTTGATATTTTATAGAGAAATTGCATAAATTCCCTAGGCTGATATTTTAAAGCTTTATCTTTTTAAAGCTGAAAGAATGATTTTTCAGATTATGATTTCTTCCATATAGTTACAAACAATGAGCCATGTGTATATAAATATCCAAAAATAGATATTTTTATGTTTGTAGACTTTTGTTTTGATTTGGGGGCGCTTCTCAGCAGAGCTCAGGGCTTACTACAGACTCTGTGCTTAGGGATCACTACTGGTGTGGCTTGGGAGACCTTAAAGGTTATCAGAGATGGAATCTTGGTTGGTGTCGTGCAAAGCAAGCACCCTGCTGTACTGTTGCTACAGCCCAGAACATGTGTTTTTCAGATAACTCTTCCATATTGCTCATTAATGGTTATGTTAAAAGAATTTTCATGTTTCTTTGGAGATAAAGTACAGTAGTGTTAAATATATTCATCCCTAAATACCTTGGATTTTGCATTTGGGAACAGGTGATTGTGAAGCATGGAAAGTTATAGAAGTCTAGGAAAGAAATTTTTATTGTTGGGTTTATGTTAACCTCGATGCAAAAAGTTTAATAGATTTTGATCATTGCAAAGTATTTTTTTCTTTGTTTTGGGGTCACATCTGATGGTGATCAGGGCTTATTCCTGGCTGTGTTAAGGGGTCACTCTTGAAGTGGGGAGTCAGGGCTTCATATGGGCTGTTGGAGATTGAACCCAGATTCTGCATGTGAGGCAAGCACCTTACCCACTTCTACTATCTCTCTGGTCAGATGATTTCTGTTATATTTAGTCTAACGTTCTGGGGTATGAAAGTGATGTTAATAGAAGTAAATTCCTCTGTCTAATAAATAGGTTAATGAGCCAGTAAATCCAACATATTAAGACAAAATATCATTTTGCATAAATTCAGTGCAATTATTGTTACTGCTATTGTTAATATTTTGTACCTACCATGGAGCTATTTGAGAAATAAGATTGTGACTATACAAATTTCTTAGTGATTAAAACAATAAGATTTAAGTGAAAGTTCACCACCAGGGATTCCTGGAGAGAAGATGATTGGGAAAAGCTATTGATTTTCTGCTTTCTTTGAGAATTTAGTTATGTTACAGAAAAAAAGGTCTTTTTTCTTCATTAGTTTGCCTATTCATAATGAATGTATGAAAGGTTAGCCTACCTAAATATTTCTCCAAGAAAATAGGGTAAAACAAATCATTTCAGATCGTCAGGGTAATAATAGAAGACAAATATTGGTAATTCAGTTAGTTTCTCATCTCTTTGAAGAAAATAAAACTTGAAACAAACAAAACTCAAATAAAATAGAAATAATGATCTGTGGTAAACACAAATGTTACATAATCTATTATGGCTTTCTGTATATTCATATTACATATACAGCATTTCTGTGTGCTTCATGCATAGATTTATTATAATAGAAATGGCTATTTCTTAGATATGACTCTGTGTGCTAGCCAGTATTCTAAACTTGCCTATATTGAATCATTTAATTTTCATAGATCGTGATAACTAAATTGTTTATCATTCTCATTTATAAGGATCTGAGGTCCCAGCATTAAATAATGTGAGTAATGTGACTTAAGGTTATGTAGCAAAAAGTGGCCATCATTTTTCATCCCAATTTTTGTGTAAATGGATATAATTAAAGTTGTTTGTGAGCTTTATTTTTATCATGAATAAATATATCCTGTTTTTTCCCTACAGGCTGTATGTTTGAAAAGGGCCCCCGGCAGTTTTATGATGACACCTGTGTTGTCCCAGAAAAATTTGATGGTAGGTTTTTCATCATGTTTCAAATTTGAATTTTTGGGTAGATACCATGTGCCATTCCTAAAAACAATCGACAACTCTGATGCATTCATCTCTTGCTAACTTTTCCCTTACACACATTCTCTCTTTCCTTCCTCTATTCAGAACCTTGTATGCTTTTGTCTTATGAGGAATCTAACTCTTGAGGAGAGAATTGGTTATGTTCTAGCTGAGCTTAGCGTAGAGACCAGGGGATTTTTTCATTGCCCTGCAGAGCACACGCAGCTTGTTGTTTGGGATTTATTGAAAGCTGATCCCATAATTAACAAAACTGAACAGAGAGCATGCTACTGTGGACGCACAGATGACTAATGCAGCCTCTTTCCTTTTATTGTCCATGAAAAGATGCATTATGAAACACAGGAACAACATAGCTGCCCATTTAGTTACTGATTGCTAGTTCTTTTATTTTTTTCCCCTGAGATATTCATTACCGATGTGGCATTACTTGTAATTGCTTAAAATGGAATTAGGAAATTATTGCTTTTTAATATCCCTTTGCTGTTGTATTTAAAAAGCCCTATATGTCAGAAAAAGGTGTCAAATTTGATAGAATCTTCTTTTCTTCACAAGGGGATCAGAAATTGGCATGTACAAGGAAACTTGGGGAGAAAAGTGAACAGTTAATTGATTTTCGTGGTTTTTTAGTGTGGTCTCCATAGTTCCTGCTTTGATTGTTTAACAGGAAACGAGCAGGGGCCCACTGATTAGCTGATTGCACAAACTTTGGGGATCATGGCTGTAATGACTTGGTAACACTGGAAAGTTTTAATTGTCATTATTTAAACAGCAAAGTGCACATTCAGATTGCCTCTCCTTCCTTAATGAGCTGCCTCAAGACTATTCTGTTCCCAAGGTTTTTGCTACTCATAGACTTCCCAGAAGGAATGGTGTGTTAAGAAGATCTGTTTCCTTAGCCTCCTTTTAAATTGCTGGAAGGTCACAGTGGAGGTTATTTGTTTGGCCTTATTCTACAGTAGATGTTAGATTTAAGCTTTGAGTTTCAAAGGTGTGAACTCTGCTATTTAGCACCATTAGCAGAGCATCACTATTCTTAAAAGGCAGCTTTTTCTCTTGAGACAAAGCCTTAAGCCTCTAATTCTTAGAATGACCTTCATCAGTTTTTTTTTCTTTCTTTCTTAGTGCGCTTAACTTGAAAGAAATTGTGATAATTAGCATGGGCATAAGAGGTAGAAAATAACTCAAAAATAGAGAGGATTTTGATATAATCTATTAAGCCAAGTTCACACCAATATTTAGGGGGCTAGCTGTCTTGATTTTCCTGCTGACTTTTAAGTACTCATAGGTTTTATACTATGCATATATATCTAGCTCTATCTAAAGATACCATCCTTAAATTTTATAAGGAATAGAGAACAAGAAAATAAAAAAAACAAGGGTTATCTTTTTATTGTTGAATGTCATACAATGTCACATTTATAGGCAGAAGCAATATAGACATTATAAAATTTGACAGTGTTTCTCGGTCTGCATAATTGCTCAGTTACCCCCATGAAAAAACTTATAAATCTCTGAAGGTAGAACTGAAATAAATGAAACTGTCATTGAAATCAATATAAAGAGATACTTATATGTTATCTAGCTTAGACTGAAACAACATGATGATTTTTAAAAGGAGGTATTGACGGAATAATTTTATATTTTGGTTAGCTCTTAAAAGTATTCTTTCTGTAATTATGTTAAGTATATTTCTGTCCACTGACCAAAAGAAAGTTTGAAAAAGCTTTTGATCTTATCTATTTTATAATTTACACTTGATGTGAATGGATCAGCTGAATATTACATCTGGATTGTTTCTTTAGTAGAGAAGATAAATTCATACATCAGCAATGATATTCTGATAGGGAGCCCTAGGCATTCATTCCCTGGTGCAACCAGAGTCACATATTTTTTAGATGATGGTCTTGAGACAGAGGTAAATGATGAGTAATTCTGTTCTTTTTTTAACCTGTAACATATTAACTGACCGGATTCATATAAAAAGCATTGAAACACACATTTATCTGTAATCTATTTTCTGTTGCTTTCTTGTTTTGGGATACACCTAGTGATGCTCAGGGCTTTCTCTTGACTCAGTGGTTCAGGAGAGTTACTCCTAGTGCTGCTCTTAGGGAACCATGCAGTGCTGGGATCATCCAGATGTAAGGCAGACATATTAACCCCTGTTCTGTCTTTCTGACCCTGTAATCTTTTACATTATTAAAAACTATCAGGTAATACAATAGACAGCTCTTTCTTCTTATAAATTATACTTGTATGAAAGTCCTAGTATAAGTATTTTAAAATTGAACTTTTAGGAAAACAATGGGAATATAAAATCAAGTGAAAGGAGTATAACCAAAAGACAAAGAAAACAAGAAGTTTAATTTGATGCCTGTTAAAAAAAGTGCAATTATGAAGATGTGGAGAAATAATGGTCCCAAGCCTACCATCCATTGTATTCTTAATCACTAGACTTTCTCAATCTATATAGAATATATGTTATTGAACTCCAATTTTAAGATGTATTAAATTATCTTTGAAATATTTTGAATTTAAAGTTTCAAGTTTGTCATATCGATGTCAGTGGGGAATTTACAAATAGGTTGCAGAATCTTGTTTGGACAAATTCAGTGTTCAGAGTTTAAAAATGATTATTCCCTTACAGTGTTGCTTTGAGCAGTGAGTAATTGAATTCACAAAGCAAGGATGTGTGATTAGTTGTTATGTTTTAAAAGAAGCCAGCAAAAAAAGTTAGACAAATTTTATAAGTAAATGACACCCAGTAGGCTTATTCTGTACCTGAGTGCATTCATCCTAACCATGTGTTAGTGTGGCTTTTTGTACTCATTCCAGGCTTTATTTTAAGAATTTGGGCTGGAGCAATAGCACAGCGGGTAGGGTGTTTGCCTTGCATGCGGCCAACCCGGGTTTGATTCTCAGCATCCCATATGGTCCCATGAGCACCACCAGGGGTAATTCCTGACTGCAGAGCCAGGAGTAACCCCTATGCATCGCTAGGTGTGACCCAAAAAGCAAAAAAAATATATATTTAATGGTAGCACTGTATTTAACAGCGCTCTTGAAGTGGTTGTGATGTGACATTTTATTGGTCAGTTTATTATATGTTTATGTAAATGTAGCAACATTGTTAACAATAGAAATTTGCAAAATTTTAATATAGGTGACATCAAACAAGAGCCAGGAATGTATCGGGAAGGACCCACATACCAGAGAAGGGGATCTCTTCAGCTCTGGCAGTTTTTGGTAGCTCTTCTGGATGACCCTTCAAATTCTCACTTTATTGCCTGGACCGGACGAGGCATGGAATTTAAATTGATTGAACCTGAAGAGGTTGGTTTGTTACATTTGAGTTAGGAAAGTTAGGTGTGTTGCAATAAAAAGGGATATATATATTTGACTTATATAACTGAAATATATTGGTTTATTTTTAAATATTAGGAAAATGTGAATTAAAAGCTTAACGAAATGTCATTGTACGTTTAAAATAAAATATAAAATTTTTTTCATGCTTATTCCTGTTTCATTCCATCCTACAAGATAGATACTGAAGAGAAATGGTCAAAGCACCTTTATACGATAATGCAGAATTTGAGAAGACACTAAATGAAGCATTTATATTGAGGATATTTTATAATCTCTGGGCTAAAGGTGGCATTCTGCTGAAGTTAAACTAGATTTGGATGTAATGGTATTATTCTTGAGTTTTAGCAGTTATTATTTGGACAATATATATTTTTGCCAAAGAATTTAAAAAGGAACACTTTAAGATGAAAGTCATACAGGAGGAGAAGGGGACATAGAGAAAACAATGTTTGGAAGAGCTGCAGTGAAAAATTCTCATTCCTTAAGTGTATCTCAGGAGACATATACCTGATAGAAACCTTGCTTGTTTTGCTTGTTAGTGTCTTCTTTTTCAAGTCAGTTGGACAGTATACCCTCCATTGGAAGGTGTAATGTCTCAAGAATTGAAGTTTAATGCCACTATAATTCATTAGAAATTATCAAAATGAAAGGACTCAGAGATGCTTTGCATAAGTGGAACACGCATTCAATTCACTTCAACTATATTCCTTCCCATGACCACTAAGAATATATCAATAAAAATTATGCACAAAGAATATTTAGTTCAGTGTATATTTTTCCCAGAATTAGCTGTGGGCTTATAGCCACTCTTGTTACTATAGTGTAATGAACCAATAGCTTTTGGGACCTCTACTGAAAGATGACTCATGTGAAATGTTTTCCTTTTTTTTTTTATTGTTAAAGATGCTTTCTTCACTATTGTTAAATCGTGTTAGTTTCCCATAAGAAAAGAATGAAAGACTTTCAGTTAATATGTCTACAGAGCATCAAAATACTTAAATAAGGTAAAAAATGCTAGAATATCCAGCTATTTCTGTACCCAAGGTGATTAATTTCATTTAGACTGGACATATGCAACCTAGGCAAATGAGCTTATAAATCTTAAATTTTCTTTCCTATAAAACCATATATCTGATCACTATCAGTTAATATGCCTTAATTTCATATCCAGAAGATAAGGTCAGGTTACTTGTTAAGATTTAAGACACTATGAGATTCAAATATGTATTAAAAGAAGTATGAAAAAAGGAAGACGATTAGCACAATGAAGTCTCTAAGTTTCTTCAGTTTGCTCACGGTGCTCAAATACTAGCTATCTATTAGGCCACACCAAACACATACACCTCAGTATTGTAACTTGAAATGATCTATTATGTAGTCTGGGCTAAATGTTTGGGTGTTTCATTTGTAATGTGTCTAGAGCTTAATTTGGCTGTCAAAACAAATTCATTTTTATGTAGATGTACTTACATGATGTATGTGAAAGAACCACAAAACTGATTCACTAACGAATTGAGCCTAGAAGCACTTAGCATAAAATAGCTAAAAGGCCTTTAACATGACAGAAATCTGTGCTCTTCACCTCTTGAGAGACGCTAAGAACAGCTGCAAGAGTTGGTTCATACTTGAGCTGTGTTCCACGAGAATTTATAAATAAATTTCCCTTCATCTGTGAAGTAGTTTTAACTTCTTGCCATATATTTATTAAAATAGCGGGATTGATGAATTCTGTCAGTAATTATTGATCCTCTCAGAAGAGTAAATGTTTTTTATGCAAATGAATTAAGTTTTTTATATAGGAACTGTTGGCTTTTATGGTGATTGAGTTTGAATTAATAGAAGAGCAGATCAGATGATCATTAAGTTTTATCAAATTAAAGATTTCTATGACTTAATTCAGTGAAGAAGTATAGTGATGCTTCAAATAATAAACTGACATTTGTAGGTACCTTTTCTGCTGTAACTTAATAAAGTGAAAAGGTACAGGGTCATTCTGAATCAGCCAACCACTTCTAAATAGTTACTAACCCAGTGACAGTTGTGCAATAGACACTAAATGTCTCCTAAGGCTTTTGTTAAAAATGAAACATCCGATTTCTGATTGTGGCTTTTCTCATAGATGCAGTTGCTTTCATCAGGTCATGACTGTACTGTTTTGCTTAAGTCTCTTGTTTGGAGAGTGTTTGTGAAACCTTTCGCCTGTGAGGCCCATGATCACCCTCCTCCCATTCACTCCTCAAAGGTGACTTTGAAGTCATCCTGTTGAAATTCTTCAGAGGTCCCTCTTCTTTATGTTTTGACAGTTCAAAACAATGCGGAGTAAGACTGCAGAACAGAAAATCTGCTCAGTGTATTTAATCTGCCCAGTGTGTTTGGGCAACTTTAATAAGCACATAATTTAGTGTCTCTTTGTGAGATTTCAGATAATGAGAAACCATTTTCAAATTATTTGTGAATTCTAGAAAACTGTTTTAGGGAATAACGATTAATACAGTAAAAGGTCTATAAGATTTCTTATCAATGTCTTTTAACTTGAGCTGGAAGTTACAAGACCCCGATTATTCTTTCCCTATTTAACTGCTGCATATTTACCAGTAATAATTGAACAATACTTAGATGATTCCTTTTTTTATACAATTTATTTGATGTTAAGGGTGACTGCTAAAGTGTCAACTCTCTTTACTGATAGCTGGTTTTCACTGGAAGGAATATCGAAGGGAAATAACTGAAAGTTATATTGAAATAAGAAAGTATTGCTACCATCTCACCCACTGTGCCTTGGAATTGATGTAGATTTCTTGGTCTTGCAGAAGTCAAATAGATATTCTTTATTGGTGGGGACTCTCACCTATCTTTGTGATCATCTGTTTATTTTAAGTTTTAGTTTTTCTTTTATTGTGATAAGAACACATAACATGATATTTACTCTTAACATAATTTTAAGTGTAAAATTTAGTTTGGCTAACTATAGGAACAATGTGCTGAGCAGATTTTACAAGCTTAATTGTATTTGATAACTTGTCGACAGTTTTATCTCTGCATTTCCTAGGTATATTATAATATTCTACTTTCCTTAGTTTTATACACAGGTGGTACTGAAACAGCACAAAGAATGAATTTTGTTATTTCAAAATATTTACTACTAAATGCAGAGCAAAAGCATTGGCAGTGTAAGAGTCAAATTCCTTTGGGTATTAAAAATCTTGTCTTTTCCTCCTGGGGATTTTTACAATTTTGTCTTAAAGTTTGTTGCAAGTATGTTATTTCCCAAATACATCTGGTGAGCTTCTAGCAAAGACTCATAACTGCATATTCCAAAATTGTGCTTCAAGGGGATATTCAGAATTTATTTTCATATCCCCTGCAGGCTTGCTTGCTGTTTAGTTGCTGTGTCTGTTAGAGAATCACTGATGTCCATGATTAGGTTTTAAAAATAAATTTTATTTAGAGAATACTGTTTTCATTTCTGCTTAGATAATTCATATTAAAATGAAGTTAATCTTAGGAAAATTAAGGTGTATCTGCTGCTGTGACTGTCTGCTTAGATACAGGATGATGTTTTGGTTACATGACCTCTTTCCTCTTAAAAAGGGGTCCTCGTGCATGTGACTAAATTACATTGTATCCTCATTTGGGGAATACAAATTGGTGAGCAAGAAAATAGCCGAGCAGTATTTTTAAAGGAAAGAAACAAATTCTGGAGAAAGGTTATTGCTAACAAAATGGAGAGAGACAGGATGATCTTTTGAAAGGCATTCTATTTTAGTATATGTGACCTAACAAGTAGAAAGTTCAGGGAAATGAAGAAACATACTTGTCTATTAAGCAAAGCTTTCCTGACATGTTCTATTAGTTGAAGCTTCCTGGGGTTGCCTAGGTATGCATAAAATGCGAGGGGGGCTTGAGGGTCTCTTGTTGTGTGCAGGGCACACTCAGCAGTGCACAAGATTTACTCCTGTGCTCAGAGATCACTCTTGGTGGGATCTGGGCAGCCATATATGGTGAAAGGGATCAAATCCTATGTGCAGTGTGCAAGGCAAATGCCCTACCCACTATACTATCTCTGGCCTAGGTTGATGCTATTTTGAATCAGATTAATAAAACCTTGGAAATGAGTGACACTGTGCGTTGGGCAAGGTAGAGAAAGCAGATAACACTGGTTTAAGGCTTGAAGTGATACTGAGGTGGGGCTTACATATATATTGAGGAAGAGGTTTCCTTAAGCTCAACTGAAGAACTGTCTGCCAGAGATCTTGAACATCCAAAGCCCTGTTATAAAAAGTTCTGGACAACAAAGTGGACATTCTGCTTGAGAGAGTTTGTTTGTGGACTCATATACATGGTGACCTTTTCCACTTCCCTTCTTATTTTTAGCATCAACTTGCTGCTCTTTAAATGAATACTTAGCTCCCCTGTTTAATATTGGCTACAATTGTATTCTGTGATGCTGCTTCAGGCAATAAACAATTATTTGCGTTCAGATGATTAATTTGTATACTATTTCCTCTGCCAGGCACACCATGCCACTATATTCACTTTTTTTTAGTGTGGATTAGATTTCTATTTTTTTTTTTTTGCCCCATCATAACCTCAGAAAACACCTTTACATAGAGCTCCCTACGCCCTCGATCTGTAGTTTTTATCTGAAAAACTAAGAAGACAAAACTGTGTATCAATGAATGGAAACTTGCCTCATTTTGGTGAATCGCAGCCTGTTCTTTGCAGCTGTAAACACGTTCCTTTATTTCCATTTAACTTTTTATTCCAAACAATGGTGACAAAGAATTCTATTGTGATATTTCAGAAGGATCCCTGCACGCCTGGTTTAAAAGCAAACCAGGACACAGGAAATTCAGACCATGATTGCTTTGGCCTCTTTGCTTGTGTCTTGATTTGAATTTGTTTGGGAGGGTTTGACAGTAATTAATTAATTAACTAAGTTTAATGGAATTTGTTGATAAGTTAATACTTAACACTACAATGTACTTCTGTTTTGGTGGCAGGTGGCCCGACGTTGGGGCATTCAGAAAAACAGGCCTGCTATGAACTATGATAAACTTAGCCGTTCACTCCGCTATTATTATGAGAAAGGAATCATGCAAAAGGTGAGCAGCTAACACAGCATTAAAATGCATTGAAATGTTGCACATTAATCTGCATGTCATACTTTAAAAGCCATATATCACTACATTGCTGAAGCAAGGGTTTCACTTACTCTGACATGTGCTTACCTCTTGGTTTTGGTATGCCTTTCTAATTATAAATGCAAGGACCTTACACACAAACGTATGACATTATCATATACATAGCAATAGACTTTCTGGAAGTGCCTGCTTTTCTGTGTTTTTAAGTAAGATTGTTCATTTCCAAGTTTACATGTACATATTCACAGAGGCTATTGATAATCTTTGCCACCATTACACAATTTTATTTTTCAATTTTTTAAATTTATTATATATATTTAATTTTTATTAGTGAAACACCATGAGGTACAGTTGTAGACTTACAAATTTTTATGCTTGGATTTCAATTATAAAACGATCAAATACCCATCCCTCCACCAGAGCCCATTTTCCACCACCACAATTTCCAGTATCCCTCCCACCCCCCATCTCCCCCATCCTACCCTGCATCTGTGGCAGGACATTCCCTTTTGTTCTCTCTCTCCTTTTGGGTTCTGTGGTTTGAAAGAGAGGCATTGAGTGGCAATCATGTTTGGTCTATAGTCTACTTTCAGAATGCTTTTCCCATCCTGGGAGGATCCTCCAAACACCCTTTATTTGGTGCTCCCTTCTCTATCTGAGCTGCCTTTTCCCCTAGCATGTGTGGCTGGCCTCCAAGCCATGGAGCAAACCTGGTACTAATCTCGGCCACTCTTGGGTATTACGCAATTTTAAAAGTGTTTTTGCTTACAGGCTCCAGTGATAACTGATATTCTTTCTTTTCTTTTTTCTTAAAACATTCAGACCATTTTTTATTTCCCTTTGTGAAGACATTTTTCTTTTTTCCAAAAATTTTGCCTAGTTTCATTAGATTTGATAACTAGTATTAAAAAATACTAGTATTTAATCTTATATTTAATTTATTGGTTGAAGGCAATTGAATAGATTTAATTTTATTTCAAATGATCTTTTTTTAATATTGAAGGAGATTTTTCTTAATAGAATCCACACCCTGCAGTCCTGGGTGGAAGGTTGCAGGGGGATGCTTTGTCTACTCCTGGTGCTGTGGGGATGGGGTCAGAGGTCACTCATGAGGTATCAGGAGGACTGAACAGGGCTTTGAACATGTGAAGCATGTGCCTTGTAACTTGAGGTGTTTCACCATTCCTGAAAGTAGTTTCTGTTTTATAAGTTTTTTTTTTTTTTATTGATTAAGGTTTTGTCATTTACAATACTGTTAATGATGGTTTCCCATATGTACATAAAAAGAAAGAATGAGATGAGGAACTGGAGAGATAGATCAGTAATTTAAGTACTTGTCTTGCACCTGGCTGGCCCAGGTTCAATCCCAGGGACCCCATATGGTCTCCAACACTGCCAAAATGGGTCCGTGGAAAAAGAGCCAGAAGGAAGCCCTGGGCACAGCCAGGTGTGCTTCTCTTCCCTACCAAATCCACAAATTGTGACATGAAACAAATGTTTTAACTTAGAACAAAATATACACATTTTGAAGAGAGTAAAGATGACATTAACATAAAACATTTGGTTATTTATTATTGTCACTTGTGTATTCAGTCTGCTTATCTGATATAAGTTTGTGATTTATCCATTTTGAGCATTACTATTTCTGCATCTTGTTCACTTGGGAGGAGACAAAACATAGTTATAGTACAGATTGTGGCAGATTTTTAGGTCATCATAGTTTTGCCAGCAAAAACTAGACCAGTTGCTACTTGAAACTTAACAAAAATGAGAAATAGCATTGAATTCCCCAGACCAAGGGAATTGATGCTATAGAGTTTGTCAGTTCCCAGGTTAGCACTTGGGTGGCGGGGGGGGGGGGGGGGGGGGGAGGATGTACCTAGAATAGCAAAGATTTTTATAGATAAAGCTGAAATATTTTTAATTGCTCATTGTTATCTGCTTTTTCATCTTAAACCTTTAGTCATTTTAAATTTCTCCTCTTCTTTCCTTTACCATATCCACTTAAAGCCAGATCTTTTCAAATAAATTCCATTCCTTTTATTTTCATTATAATCTCCCTAATTCTGGTACATCAAATAGTCTAGAAGTTCAGGTGCAACATGTTATACACATTGCTTTTAAAAGAAAGTACAGTTATTAATGGAGAGGGTTGTATGGTAACATTTCAAAAGAGTATCTTTTAAATGTATTTTTTCTAAATGATGGTTTTTATCTCAAAGTTGTTATTTAGTGAAATAATGTATTTGAGACATTTATGTTGTACTGTCACAATAAAAGCTTTCAATAACTGAAACTTGTAATGCATGTTACACTCTAAAATTTGTGTAAGCTAGGGCATATTTAGTTTGTGTCTTTGAACATTAAGCTTCTCATTAAAAGGAACATTCACAGCTAAAAATTAACATTATTCTAAGATCTTAAATTCTCCCTATCTTAGACAGCGTTTGATAAGATATCTCCAGGATATCATATTCAGTCTTATATATTCTAATAGAGGCAGAAGCTTCTTATTACTAGTATCACTTCCATACTAATTTACTAAATCCTGTAAGAAAGGAAAGTCATTTAGTGGAGTGATATACAAAGGTTAAGATTTGTTTGCAAGTAGCAAATAATTAGGGTATTTTATAATTACTATAGTCATGCATATTTATATCAATATGAATGATTATGTTGATTCATTTTACTTTTTTAATCCCTTCATTGCTTCATACATATTTTCCCTTATTCTACAGTCGTTTCTTCTCTATAATTAGTCAATCCTTTAAAAATATGGTGTTAATTATGTGTATTACTGTTATTGGGAAATGTTTATGACTCCACATTATAAATGTTTATATCATACATATGTAAGAGAATATAAATTGGGATTTTTTTTTTTTTTATTTTTTATTAGTGAAACAACATGAGGTACAGTTATAGATTTACAAATTTTGTGCTTGGATCTCGGTCATACCACGATCAAATACCCATCCCTCCACCAGTGCCCATTTTCCACCACCAGGATAATATCCCTCCCCCCCCATCCTCCCATCCCCCCATCCCCCCCGCCACTGTGGCAGGGCATTCCCCCCTGTTCTCTCTCTCCTCCTGGGCGCTGTAAATTGGGATTATTTTAAAATAATGGAAATGTGGCTTTGGGTACATAAACACTCATAATTTCTGTCACTTGAACAAAATAAATGATAGCATGATTTTTTACACTTTATAGATTGCTTGTGTGTATGCCATTTCAAAATTTAGAAGCTCTTTGAATAATATAAGCCATTGTTTTAGCAGAGGTGTTTCTGAATGATATAATGGTCATCATTTCTTTTGGCTTACTGGATAATTTTGTTAAGTTAAGGCCAACAGAACACCCATGCAGAGATGCTCAGGGAGCTACTCCTGGCTCTATGCTCAGGGATGATGCATTCTGGGGGATCTAACCTGTGCCTCCAAATGCAGAGCATGTACTCATTGCCAGTGAGCTACCTCTCTAGCCATTATACTCTAATTTTTAATTTCCTCTTTGTATCCTTCTATTAATTCTGAAACATTAAAGATTAAAACCTAATTTAAATATCTGGTCTTTTAGTGTGTAGTTCAAAAAATTCTGTCTTGTTTAATTATTATTTATGTCCTAAAACATTCACATTTATTTATCTCAGCATTAGAATTTAAATATACTTAATGTACAGCTTTTTCCATATTGTAATTGCGTTACTAGAAATGGAAGGCATTATTTCCCTTAGTTGGTATCTACTCTTGTCCTAAACTCTGTGACATTTTAAATAGTTCAGTAACTAAAGTAGTAGCCTTGGAAATGTTTATTCAAAAGAAAAATAAAAGGAAGCCATGAATCAAGGCAGAATGATTATGAGATTTTACAATCTTGATTGCATGTTAGACAGTTTAATTCCCCACAGGGATTTGTCAAGTCATTTCTAATTATGACCAATAAGAAAAGGTTGGATAAAAAACTTCCTGTAGCCTTAAACAAACACTCCTTTCATTGAAGCGCTGAGAAAAACAAAGAAGGTCATAAAATGCTCAGAGGTATGTGGGCCATTTTTTCCTCTGGATGCTTTAAATTTAGATAACCAGAAAAGAAAAGTAGCATTTAGCATTTTAGCTTTGCTTCTGATTAAAACCCCTTTTAATTTTTATTTTCACTTCACCATATGAACTTAGTTTCCTCCCTACAAAGGATGAGCAAATACTCTTATGTTAGCTCTTTCTGGTCATGCAGCACAGAGAAGCTTCTGTGTTATAAGGTTTTATTTACAACATGCTTTCCATAGAACCGTTGCTGATTTATGTCATATAGGATAATGAGTGCAGTTTAAGAAATATGTCAATTCAAAATAACGTGTGTTTAAACTGCTCAAACCAAAAATTATTGACTTTTTTTATTATTTTTAAGGTTATCTAAATTAGTTTCTCTTACATCAGGTTAAAAGCCAAATTCAGGTGCTGGAGAGATAGTACAGTAGGTAAGGTACTTGCTTTACACACAATCAACCTGGGTTCTATCCTCAGAATTCCATATGGTCCCCCAAGCACTTCCGGGAGTGCTCCTTGAGCACCACCCAGTGTGGCCCAAAACTTAAACAAACAAACAAAAAAGCATCTCCCGGGTAAAAAATGGTCTCGGTCTGTGTCAAAAGCAGAAGTGCTTTTAGGTTGTTGATCCTTTTTCCCCATCCTATAAACAATATGAAAATACTATACATATATTTTCTAAATATTATAGAAATCATAAACACAGTATTCCCCCACATGGGTGATGTCAGTACTTATATGATACACAGATGTATTGCGTAGTTTTCACTTCTCTAAAATTACTGAACTCTAACAATGTACACTAGGAGTCTGTCAAAGTTAATACAAAAAGTTTTATTCACTTAGTACTATCTATTCCCAGGTTTTGTGATACCCTCAGTATTTTTTTATTAATGGTCATGGGGAGATGGGGGTGCATGTTTATTTTACTCAATTATTTATAATTTCCTGGAGAAGAAGCATTAGTCTTCAAAATTTAAATGTGGGGCATGTCACTCCCTACAAATTATGCCACTTCTCCTTTATTTCAGCCAGCTGTCACATTTCTCTTTCTCATTTCCTCCCTATATATTGTATATTCTAAATTCTTTTCACTTTTTTACACCTCTTACTTCAATTTGACACTTTATCCACATCCTTAACTTCTGTCTAATGCATTTTGCCTTCATTTTTAAAAGTGATGTACTAGAATAATGCTGTCCTCTTGATTCATCTTTCATTTTAAATAAGGCTATGTATCTTTTCATTTTTCCAGATAAAAATACACAGCGCCAAAAAATAAAAACAGCTCGCCCTGTGAACCAGTGGATAACTAAGCTAGTTTTTAGTAAGAACAGAGCTTATCTTTCTTTTAGGTTGTAGAGATTTAATTTTCCTACAGTTTCAGAAATGGAATGTAAGCAGATGCTGCATGTTAAAAACTATTTTACAAGTATAGATATTACCATTTAAAGCAGAAAAAGTTTTTTGTTTGAAGTGTCTGCATAAAATTTATCATTTCTTTTCTAAGATTATTATATAAATTTACCTTTGTATTAAGACAACCATTGAGCTTTTGGGGGGAAAAATCAAACATTCTAATTGGTGTCAGAGAGTGAGTACAGAATGCAGGGCACTTGCTGAGCTGGATTTAATCCCTGGCATGCCACATGCTCCTGTGAGCACTGCCGGAACGATCCCTGAGCATATAACAACGAATAAGCTCTGAACACCTTCAGGTATGGCCCTCAAACCAAAAAATACTATTTTTGTTGATTTTTTGTTTGAGGACCACACCCAGCTGTGTTCAGGACTTAAGTCTGACCCTCTGGTTAGGTAGGGTGTGTCCATACTCAAAGAACCATATGAGGTGCTATAGAACAAACGGGTTGGCTGAGTACAAGTAAAGCCCCTTAAGCTCCTGTGCTGTCTCTCTGGTTCCCTATTAAGCTCTTAAACTCTATCTGGGATGAATAAAACTGCTACTCAAGGACATCATTTTGCATTCCCTAAACTGTATTTAATTCCCTGAAGTAAGTGCTTGGGTATCTGAGTGTGACAGTATGTGCATGTGAATTTAGGTCTAGCTTGCTGATACTTGGCTGTTTTTTTCTTTTGTTCTCCATTTTGAAATATTAAACCATCTTTTGTTCTGTTTTTCTACTTGCCCTTCCCCATCTGGGCATGATGACGATGTTTTTTTTTTCTTTTCCATGTTATCATCAGGTGGCCGGAGAGAGATATGTCTACAAATTTGTGTGTGATCCAGAAGCCCTTTTCTCCATGGCCTTTCCTGATAATCAGCGCCCACTACTGAAGACTGACATGGAACGTCACATCAATGAAGAGGACACGGTGCCTCTCTCTCACTTTGATGAGAGCATGGCCTACATGCCAGAAGGGGGCTGTTGCAACCCCCACCCCTACAATGAAGGCTATGTGTATTAACACAGTGACAGTAAAGCTGGGCCTCTTCCTGCTTCTCTTCTCTTTGCAAGATGCAGAGAATCTCTGAATTCTCTCCAATCTTTGTTTTATTTTTGTCATTGTATTTTATTTTTAAATAATAATACACAAAGGGGCTTTTCCTGTTGCATTATTCTATGGTCTGCCATGGACTGCGCACTTTATTTGAGGGTGGGTGGTAGTAATCTAAACATTTATGCTGTGTAACAGGAAAATAATGGGTGAATGGGTGGGGGGGTGGCTTGGGGATTACTTTTTATGTAGGCTTGGGATGGGGTCCTACAGGTTTTAAGTATAATGAAGCTATATCATGTTTTTTTCTGATTTCCTAACAACATAAGAAAAAGTTCCTTTTCTCCAGGTATCTAAGGTACAGTTAATTCACATTGTGTAAATATCCACTTGGAGACTTGCCTTGGGCATTTCCCCTTATCATTTCTCAGTCTCTGCAAGGTGTTCACACATGTTACACACACACACACACACACACACACACACACACACAAATCTACTGTAAATGGCAGTTAATTGATAGAAATGACTGTTTTGCACCTCTTGTAAAAAGGTATTTAGAGATTGCATTTGCTGTCTGTTTTGTTTTGCTTTATATATGACTCACAGAGGATAACCATAAAATGGGCAATTCTCTCTGATGTTAATAATCACCATGACTGTAAATGAAGGGCACAATTTTGGACTCTGGCTCCAAACTGAGTCATGGGCCAGTAGCATTACATGTATATAACACCTTGCTGCTTAGGTACAAATCATACTGTCTTTTAAATATTCTGAGGCCCATTTCAGTTGAATAATACGTCATGGTCCTTTGAGATCTTCATTTAAATGTTAAATCTGGGGTAACAATGAAGCAAAAAATATGTGTCTCCTTTCACTTCTTCAGTACATGAAACTTATTTAATCAATAAGAATTAACTGTACTAAATCATATATTATGCTGTTTTAGATATAACAGCAGCCACTCCTTAAGAAAAATATCCAATACACTAAATAGGTACTATAGTAATTTTTAGACATGGTACCCATTGATATGCATTTAAACCTTTTACTGCTGTGTTATGTTGATAACATGTATAAATATTAGATAATGCTAATGCTTCTGCTGCTGTCTTTTCTGTAATATTCTCTTTCATGCTGAATTTACTATGACCATTTATAAGCAATGCATTTAACTACAGATAGCATTTCAGGACAAAATAGATGACTCAAAGCATTTATTGCTTAAAAAATAGCTTACACCATACTACGCTATAAGCAGCTTTTATGCACATTGACAAATGAAGAGTAAGCTTCAGCTTGCTAAGGAAAACTGTGGAAATTTTTGTAACTTTTGGTGAAGTGGAAAATTATTTACAAACTGTCAAAGAATCTGAGGAAGTTGCTGTATGACATAGTGCTGGCACTGATATTACCCATTATCTTGTTTTGGACACTCGTGTAAATGTGATTGGATTGAAAGAAGATTTAAAGTTTCAAAGATTTTTGCTTTGGTTTTGTTTTACATTTAAAGAAATTATTGAAAACAAGATATATTGTTCCATTAACCTCGAAAAATACAAAGTAAATGGTGTTAAAGAATCTCTGAATACCTTCCTCAATGATTCAAGCAAGAAATGAATTTTGTTCAGTCGGTCAATTGCCCAGAGCAATGTCATTTTTCAGGGTTTATAGCAAAATGCAAAGAATAAAAATACATAGGAAAAACATAAAATAACATGATGTTCATACTGAGCACGTAATAGATTATTGAAAGATATCTCCCAGCTATTAAATTCCCAAACAGATACAGATCACATCTTGCTTCTCTAAATTAAACCATTAATGAGAACCTAGTTACAATAATTGATACTATTTAATCCTGCCCAAAAATATCTGTTTTCAAAATATGTCTGTAACTTGTAAATTTCAATGACTGCATATTCATTATGTATCATTAGGCCCATTGTGGGCCTAAAAGTATGCCTTAAAAATCAGAATTTTACCCCCCCACTATGTTCATGTAGCCATTTACAGCACTTAGGATAAAAACTTTTAAAAATACTCAGCTAAAATTTTATTGGAAAGAAATTGACATATTTGAAAAAATTTGAAGAGGGTCTTCAAAATATACTCTATATGAAAACTGTACAGAGAATTCTATTTTTTTCTCTTCCTTTTTTCCCTTTTAATTTTTTCTTTTTAATACTATAATTCTAGTTTGACAGTGAAGAAGAATTAGGCCATGAGATATTTTAAGAGATCAAAAGAACTGGTATTAATTATATAGTATTTAAGGACAAACCATATACTTTCCTGTTTAAGGTACTGACTGACTCACTGAATGAAGTTATTGGCCAACATTAGGGATATTTCCAGTATAAATGGGTTCAAAGCATTGCATTAAAATCTCCTTTGGGAAATGAATCTACACCGTTGTTTTTTTTTTTTTAAGTTCTGTTTTTACTCTACTTTTTGTTTTGGTTGCATTTTTATTTTCAGATAGATTAATAAATCTGGCAGCTGATTCTGCAAGATTCGTGTGTTTTGGATTTCTAATTGAATTGGCTATTCAAATAAAGAAATTAACATTATAACATTTTTCTTCAACTTGGTAAACTTTTGAAAGAAATAAAACCACTTAGTGTTTACTGTCTGTTGACAGTGATGTTAATACCCAACAGAGTAGTTTCCTCCATGTCTCCTCATACTTTTCTTAATTAATATAAAATGTTTTTTCTAAGTTACTCTTATTAAAACATCTAAAAGTAAAATTCTTCAAAACTGTATGAGGCGGGGTTGGAACGATAGCACAGTGGGTAGGGTGTTTGCCTTGCACACAGCTGACCCGGGTTTGATTCCCAGCATCCCATATGGTCCCCCGAGCACCGCCAGGAGTAATTCCTGAGTGCATGAGCCAGGAATAACCCCTGTGCATCACCAGGTGTGACCCAAAAAGAAAAAAAAACTATGAGGCAGTTTTCTCAAATCATAGAGATTGTTTCCACAATTTTAATAGTATGAAAAGAGGCCTAGCAATAGTATAGAGGGCACGTTGTTTGTCTCTCATGCGACCAACCTAGGTTATATCCTGGCATACCATATGGTCCCCCGAACACCTTCAGAAGTAATTCCTAAGTAGAGAGCCATGAGTAACCCCTGAGAATCGCTGAGTGTGATCCCTCAAGAAACCCAACAGCAATAACAAAAACAAAAAACGTACGTTTAGGAGTCCAAAATAATTTCTGGCAGGGCTCAGGCCTTGCAAGTGGGGACTCAGGTTCTATCCTCGACATCTCCTGAACACCGCCAGGAATAATTCCTGAGTGCAGAGCCAGAAGTAATTCCTGAGCATCACTGGGTGTGACCCGAAAAGCCAAAATACAGAAAACAACAAAATAATTTCTAGAGGATTAAAATCAAAGAGTTTGTGGGTAAATTTCTTCTAGATTGAGGCCAATCTCTGCCTCTGTGGCCACATCCTCTTTCTCCTCTATTTCTTCAAATCCCCCACTGCTTACTTCTTAAAAGAGTAATGTGATTATATTTAGAATTCACTCTATTAATCCTGGATTATATTGCCATAGGAAGATCCTTAGCAATCTAGAGGTTTCTGGGCCAAAGAAGTATCCTTTACAGGTTGCTGGGATCGAGACATGGACCTGGATGGAGGACCTCCTTGGGGCTATTATATAACCTACCATACAGACAAAGACTGTCGTTAAAGTACTAACTGAATTGTCTATGGACAAAGAAGTTCCACCGAAGGTGTTAAGAGTACAAATAATTTTGAAGAATATTCTTATTTAACATTAAACTAGTTTTTCCTACATTGTATAAATTGTACCAGAAGCATCCTATATTATAATTTAGTTATTCCACTAAAGCATCTATTGATATTATCGTGTTTTATATTGTTTCTTCTCCCCATGTTACATAATTAGGCAAAAAAAAAATAAGATGTAATGCTTTATAGAATAGTAACACAGTTAATAGTTGTCCAGGCCAGTTGTTATTTCTTACGAAGGATTTCTTTTGGTGCTTTTGTGAGTTGTTACTCCTTTGCAATTTTAAGATCTACAAATGATTTGTATTTGATACTAATAATATATAAAACATATGTCTGTTACTCAAAATTCTAAAATTAGTTGCTTTATCTTTATATAATAAGAAATTAACATTATCTGATATTTGATCAAATCATAGGAGTTTTGTGCCACTTTTTCTGTCAGGAAGCATTTTCAAGCCTATAATGGCAAAATAATATTGGTTGAAAATGTTGGCTTAGGGACGAGAGCAATAGTACAGCAGGTGGGGCATTTGTCTTGCACATAGCTGACCTGGGTTTGATTCCCAGCATCCCATATGGTCCCCTGAGCACATCCAGGAGTAGTTCCTGAGTGCAGAACCAGGAGTAACCCCTGTTCATCGCTGGGTATGACCCAAAAAGCCAAAAAAAAGAAGTTGGCTTAAAAGAGAGAATCTATCATTTAAGAATAAATGAATAAGCTATTTTCCATTTGTAGTTTAATCTGAGGAAGAACAGAACTGCATAAAATATGAATTAGGTAAAGTAATATTACAAGGAAGCTAGTAGAAATAAACAGTTTTGATACATATTACATAAAAGCCAAGATTCACTATATCAATGTTGAATCTGATACCAAAAATTTGCTAATTTTACTTGAAACTCAATTATTTCCTTGACTTGGTATTTTTATTTTTATGGGACTCATTTTAAAAAGTTTATTTATAAAATAGAAGTTTATAGCACAGCGGGTAGGGCGTTCGCCTTACAAGCGGCCAACATGGCCGACCCGAGTTCGATTCCTCCGCCCCTCTCGGAGAGCCCGGCAAGCTACCGAGAGTATTCGATATGCCAGACACAGTAACAACAAAGTCTCCAATGGAGACGTTACTGGGCCCGCTCGAGCAAAACGGCGATCAACGGGAGGGCCTTTACCTTTTTACCTTATGGAAAAATACAATTTAAAATAATTGATCCAAGTAGTGAATGATTATAGAAATATCAGTCACCAGAATGTTTGGTTAGAAGTATACATAGAACAGTTACACTGTCCTCCCATTGTTCAGCGATTTGCTCCAGAGAGCCCAGTAATGTCTCCATTGTGAGACATCTTGCTGCTGTGTTTTGCATATGGGATCCATTACGGGTAGCTCGCCAGGCTTTGCAGTGCGGGTGAGATACTCTCCGTAGCTTGCCGGGATCTCCGAGAGGGGCAGAGGAATCGAACCCAGCTTGGCCGGCCTGGCCGCATACAAGGCAAATGCCCTACCACTGTGCTATTGCTCCAGCCCACATAGAATAGTTATGGTTTATAAATTCATACATACAGTAGGGGTTTTTTTTCATTATAGATTTTCTAATATTCCTATTCCATTCTAAGATTGTTTCTCTGGGAAAACAATTTTAATTCACTTGAATGTATTAAACTTATGATTTAAGAAAACATGCTATGAAATGTCTGTGATTATAGCAAATTGAATCTGCTCTAAATTTAAACCTAAAATAAAAACCCAGAAATGGAAAATATTGGATTATGGTGATAACATTGGAAGGTGGCACGTCTAAAACTGGCAACTGTCATTTAAGTTTTTGACTCCTAATCTGGGGAATAATTTTAATCATTTAATTTATGACTAAACCTCTTGAGTAATCATTGTACTACTTCATTTACTTCCTAGGTATTCACTTTCAGGTGATTTATTTCCCAAGATAATTGATAAATCTTTTTCTAGTTCTTTGTTCTGATCTCTTTATATATACAAATTCACTTACTCCCACCAGCAGTTATATCACAGAAGAAATTGGGGAAGGGCACAACCTAAATTATTTTAGTGATTTCTATGCAACAAGCAGTCTACTGGCATGGCCTGTCACTGCTGCCTGCATTAATGATTGGCATAGTCTTACTAGAAGCTTAGCATATTAGCAAAATGAAATGATACAACAGCATCATCAAACATGATTTCCCCAGTTTTACTGAAAAACAATTTATAAACATAGCATGAAGGTTTGCTTTATGGAGCGATAGCACAGCGGTAGGGCGTTTGCCTTGCATGCAGCCAACATGGCCGACCCGAGTTCAATTCCTCCGCCCCTCTCGGAGAGCCCGGCAAGCTACCGAGAGTATCTCGCCCACACAGCAGAGCCTGGCAAGCCACCCGTGCGTGATGTATTCGATATGCCAAACATAGTAACAACAAGTCTCATGATGGAGACGTTACTGGGTCCGCTCGAGCAAATCGATGAACAACGGGAGGATCGTGGACGGTAATCATCAAACGACTAAGGAAATTCCACGGCTCTCTCTCACTGCTTATGTTCCATGGTCTAGCGCTGCTCCCCCACTCGGGATGGCCGAAGCCCGGTGAACAAAGGAGGAAACAGCCAGGCTGGTTGGTGATCAGTTGCATTTATTCCATTCTCCCCATGCACCTGTTCCAGTCTCACTAAGCTCTCTTAACTATCTCCTCCTGATCTCTTTGCTAGTCTCTCACAAACTCCCATGTTTTGGGGTAGCAACCACACACCTAGGTCAAGTAGCACAATCAACATATGAAAGCCCTTCCCTATAGCCTGCAGCCTGGAGATCAGGCCCAAGGGTGGAAACACCACCCAGGGGATTTTCTCCTTTT